ACCAAAATTGACCTAATTTGCTCTTTTTTATGTAAATCTTATAGTTGCATAGTAAATCAGTTATACTTTTATGTAAGGATGGATTGTATAAAACAAATGATAGCAATATTGGACCACAATGACTACAAATTTTTGTTCGCATCAATTCAGAGGGCCGAAATGTCCTGTTTTTATTCAAAATATTGAATCGTAAACAAATATCAGTAGTTTTCATACCTCAGACTGACTCGTATAACAAAATTATTTTTCCGCATCAACCAAAACTGACCTAATTTGCTCTTTTCTATGTAAATCTTATAGTCGCATACTAAATCAGTAATATTTTTATATCAGTATGGATTGTATAATACAAATGACAGCAATATTGGGAAACAATAACTAAAAAATTTGGTTCCCATCAATGTATAGTGCCAGCATGTCCTCTTTTTATTCAAAATATCTAATCGTAAACAAATATCAGTAGCTTTTATACCTCAGACTGACTCGTATAACAAATTTATTTGTCTGCATCAACCAAAACTGACCATATTTGCACTTTATCAAGTCAATCTATATAGCTGCACAGTAATTCAGTTATATTTTTAGGTCAGGAGGGGCTGTATAATACAAATTACAGAAATATTAGACCACAATGACTAAAAAATGTTGTTCGCCTCAATTTATAGTGCCAGCATCTCCTCTTTTTATTCAAAATATCTAATCATGAACAAATATCAGTAGTTTTGAAACCTCAGACTGACTCGTATAACAAAATTATTTGTCTGCATCAACCAAAACTGACCTAATTTGCTCTTTTTTATGTAAATCTTATATTCGCATAGTAAATCAGTTATATTTTTATGTAAGGATGGATTGTTAAAAATAAATGATACATGTAGCAAAATTGGACCACAATGACTACAAAATTTTGTTCACATCAATTGAGAGTTCGAAATGTCCTGTTTTTATTCAAAATATTGAATCGTAAACAAATATCAGTAATTTTCATACCTCAGACTGACTCGTGTAACAAAATTACTTGTCCACATCAACCAAAATTGACCTAATTTTCTCTTTTTTATGTAAATCTTATAGTTGCATAGTAAATCAGTTATATTTTTATGTAAGGATGGATTGTACAAAACAAATGATAGCAATATTGAACCACAATGACTACAAAATTTTGTTCGCATCAATTGAGAAAGCCAAAATGTCCTGTTTTTATTCAAAATATTGAATCGTAAACAAATATCAGTAATTTTCATACCTCAGACTGACTCGTATAACAAAATTACTTGTCCATAACAACCAAAACTGACCTAATTTGCTCTTTTTTATGTAAATCTTATAGTTGCATAGTAAATCAGTTATATTTTTATGTAAGGATGGATTGTATAAAACAAATGATAGCAATATTGGACCACAATGACTACAAAATTTTGTTCGCATCAATTGAGAGTGCCAAAATGTCCTGCTTTTATTCAAAATATTGAATCGTATGCAAATATCAGTAGTTTTCATACCTCAGACTGACTCGTATAACAAAATTATTTTTCCACATCAACCAAAACTGACCTAATTTGCTCTTTTCTATGTAAATCTTATAGTCGCATACTAAATCAGTAATATTTTTATATCAGTATGGATTGTATAATACAAATGACAGCAATATTGGAAAACAATAACTAAAAAATTTGGTTCGCATCAATTTATAGTGCCAGCATGTCCTCTTTTTATTTAAAATATCTGATCGTAAACAAATATCAGTAGTTTTTATACCTTAGACTGGCTCTTATAACAAAATTATTTGTCTGCATCAACCAAAACTGACCATATTTGCACTTTATCAAGTCAATCTTTATAGCTGCACAGTAATTCAGTTATATTTATAGGTCAAGAGGGACTGTATAATACAAATTACAGAAATATTGGACCACAATGACTAAAAAATTTGGTTCGCATCAATTTATAGTGCCAGCATGTCCTCTTTTTATTCAAAATATCTAATCGTGAACAAATTTCAGTAGTTTTTATACCTCAGACTGACTCGTATAACAAAATTATTTGTCTGCATCAACCAAAACTGACCTAATTTGCTCTTTTTTATGTAAATCTTATAATCGCATAGTAAATCAGTTATATTTTTATGTAAGGATGGATTGTATAAAACAAATGATAGCAATATTGGACCAGAATGACTACAAAATTTTGTTCGCATCAATTGAGAGGGCCAAAATGTCCTGTTTTTATTCAAAATATTGAATCGTAAACAAATATCAGTAGTTTTCATACCTCAGACTGACTCGTATAACAAAATTACTTGTCCGCATCAACCAAAACTGACCTAATTTGCTTTTTTTTATGTAAATCTTATAGTTGCATAGTAAATCAGTTATATTTGTATGTAAGGATGGATTTTATAAAACAAATGATAGCAATATTGGACCACAATGACTACAGAAATTTGTTCGCATCAATTGGAAGTGCCAAAATGTCCTGTTTTTATTCAAAATATTGAATCGTAAACAAATATCAGTAGTTTTCATACCTCAGACTGACTCGTATAACACAGTTTTTTAAAGAGGGACTGTATAATACAAGTGACAGCAATATTGGAAAACAATGACTAAAAAATGTGGTTCGCATCAATTTATAGTGCCAGCATGTCCTGTTTTTATTCAAAATACTGAATTGTAAACAAATATCAGTAGTTTTCATACCTCAGACTGACTCGTATAACAAACTTATTTGTCCTCATCAACCAAAACTGACCATATTTGCACCTTATTATGTAAATCTTATAGTCGCATACTAAATCAGTAATATTTTTATATCAGGATGGTTGTATAATACAAATGACAGCAATATTGGAAAACAATAACTAAAAAATTTGGTTCGCATCAATTTATAGTGCCAGCATGTCCTGTTTTTATTCAAAATATTGAATCGTAAGGAAATATCAGTAGTTTTCATACTTCAGACTGACTCGTATAAGAAAATAATTGGTCCGCATCAACCAAAACTGACTATATTTGCACTATATCATGCTAATCTATATAGCTGCATAGTAAACTAGTTATATTTTTAGGTCAGGAGGAACTGTATAAAACAAATGACAGTAATATTAGAAAACAATGGCTACACAATTTTGTTCGCATCAAATTATAGTGCCAGCATGTCCTCTTTTTATTCAAAATATTGAATCGTAAACAAATTGTAGTATTTTCATACCTTAGACTGACTCATATAACAAAATTATTTGTCCGCATCAACCAAAACTGACCATATTTGCACTTTATTATGGAAATCTTTATAGTTGCATAATGAACTGTCACTTAAGTCAGTAGTTCGGGATGGTTTGTATTTCAAACAAAACTATAATATTTAACGGCATCATCCAACACTGACATGACTGATTAAAGTAATTTATAAGGAAAAGTACGAGTTGACATGTATCCAAAGTATGAGAAGTTCTCTTCTTGGAAAAGTGTACTGTTAATATATTATGGCGGTTGATTGATTTCGTTTGTAGCCTAACGTCCAGGGGCAAATATTTTTTTTTCATGTTCAGAACGAGTATATTTTTCGGACGTCCCAGATATCATTTATAATCGTTATGAAAAAGTCTGTCTAAATTGACGAGATGGTACAAATGTACATACTTATACAACACCTGATCAATATCCCTATATATACACTGTACAATTTTCGATCGAACATTTGGCAAAACAGAATCTTAAATCATGTAAATCCAAGGCAAGCAAGGTGAATTACGATTAAAAATCCATGTATTAAATGCATAGAGTTATATTTAGGAAGAGACTGTTAAAAATGGGGAACGAAGCAACGTAAACCATGATGTTTATATCCCATCATATACAAATATTTTTCCGATGTGTTGGATAACCTTTCTATTTGCCTCGATATTTGTACATGTAACTTTTGAAAAGAAAATATAGAAAATCTGCTACTCGGGAAAATTATTAGAACTGATTTTTTGTAATTAATAAAAGTTAAAAGTGTTTTTGAATTGTTCTGGTTTGAAACACTTGTACATAAAATATTAAGATACAAGTCGTTTTAATTAAAAATAAATGTACAAATGAAATCGAAGTTTATTTCTTAATTTACACAATCAGTTAACGCGAAAAGTAAACGCGCGTTTACTTTCAAGTGCACGTAGAAATACACTTGTGAAATCTGTAGTAAACACCCGTTTACTTTTAAGTGCACGTAAAAATAAACTTGTGAAATCTGAAGTAAACGCCCGTTTACTACTGACTAAACGGACACATAGTAAACGCCCGTTTACTTGGGTAGACATTAGAAATTTCCATTTTGACCGCGTTAACGTAATTATAGTAAACGCGCGTTTACTAGTAAACGCAAAAATTGAAGTTAACTAACGAAATATGTGCACGCGGCGTTAACTTGCGTTTACTTTATGTAATGCTTGGTCTGCACCCAACTGTACAGGTGAAGAAAAAAAATTTGAGAAGTTTTTTTAATTTTATATTCACTGCATGATAAAAAACATAAAAACAAAAAGTGGTATCTGAGGTTCAAAAAGATAGCAAAAAAAGTAAACGATCATTCATTTCTGAATATTATATTGAAAATACTTCAGATTGTGTATGTAGAATTTTGGGCAGTGTTAGAAAGTGGTGAAAATTCTCAAAAGGCTATCATTATCCCTATGGGCCAGGAAATACTACCGTGCCACCTTAACTAGTATATATATGATGTACACTAAATTAATTGTATTATTTTTTACCTATTCAATTTGTACGTTTAACAATAAATAGTTGATAAAAGGCAACTAGAAAAAGTACAAAACTTAAATCCCCCCCCCCCCCGGAGTGAAAATTGAATATTCAACAAATTGTGCCTAATCTGTGGGTAATAGTGTCAAAATGTACCCAGACAGTAGCATTTATAATTTCAATGTAACTTGCAATACATTTTTAATTATAAATACTAGCTTTAACTTTTCGCAGTGTTTGACACATGCACAACTACTGGAATTTGAGACGCGACATATTTTAGCTGCCTGTACATCCTATAATTTTCACCACCCTTGGCCGCCACCTAGGATCCAAAATGTTCAGTAGCCAAAAGTTGCCAATCAGGATATTCAATCCCTAGACATAAAACATTCTGGATTAGGGATAGCGTTCAAAGTCAATTATGTAAAAAACTGTTAGAAATATTGATCTTACAAAAAACTGACGTTTCCACACAAATAAGGCATACTAGAGGGATAATTTATTCCTCATTTTCAATGTGATGTGTCAAAAAAAAAATGACCTTGTATTAATAGTTACATCGCAACCATTTCTATTTGAAATTTGTAGTATTTTGGCCTGATTTAAAAATAAAACATCAAATTCTTAGGGCCAGTTTGAACCAATCATGATCTTACTCCTATATTAATTTCTTTGTATACTTGGATATGCTGAATCTGTCCAAATGGAAGTCCAAAAACTGACTATATGACGTTCTTTAATGTGCTAAATCTATCTTTGTATTTAGATTTTGGATTTTCAGGGCCCTGTTATCAAATTTGACCACAGTGTTGTCCAAAATTAAAGTTTGTTTGATTTCATCCAACATTAAATTCTTAGGGTTCTATGATAACCCGAATCTAACCATGTATTTAGATTTAAGAAATTGGGACTTGATAGGTAAAAGTCCAATTTTAATTTTTTCAGTTCTTCGACCACATTCATTCTGTGTCAGAACCCTATGCTATGTCAAATATATAATCACAATCCAAAACCAGAGCTGTATCAAACTTGCACGTAGTGTTCATACTTGCCCCAACTGTTCAGGGTTAGACCTCAGTGGTCGTATCAAGCTGCGCCCAGCCATTTTATTCACCATTGTAACCCGCATTCATCGATTTACAGCAACTCATTTTACGATAAGATGAATAAGGAGGCACGCTGAGGGCACTTTTGCGGCCTAAGAAAATTATGTAAATACAAAATCAGGGGCTTATATCTTCAATATAATTGTTAATTATGCAAAGCTGAAACTGTAATGTCTTTTAAATAGTATGAATATTTAAGAATATTTACAGTTAAAAGATAGCAAAATTCAAATGTTATACAAACAGGACAAAATAAGCATTTATTCACACACGTTTGTTAGGTGGAAATATAGTGCGCATGGAAGAACAAAATTCCATGAAAGACTTTTTTATTTACAAAATATTAAAAAAACATGAAGATGTGGTATGATTGCAAATGAGTCAATTATTTTTCATAGTCTATCTGACGTGGATGTAAGCATCTTATATATAGGTAACCGCAAACATTGTGGTATCTTGTTCAGTTGGTACTTGCGTGTGATCTATATTTGATGGTCTAAAAACTATAAGAAAATTACCAAAATTTGCAGATTTATTTCGAAAACGCGTCTAAGGATCTATTACGTGATTATAATTTTGATAATTGAGAAACAAATCTAATACATGTCCTTCCGATCTACTTTTAGGCTGACATTTTATTTTTATGAAAAATAAATGTCAAACAATCGTTATAAACTGCTTTCATATTGTTTTTTCAGATTGGCATTTCGATTCCGTTAATTACAATTTCTAAGATGATCAAAGTCTCTGGTTGACAGTTGTCTCATTGGTAATATTATATAATATTCTATGTAAAACGTCATGCTCATTTTGTTCTGCATTTCTGTTCCAGTACTTCGAGCTTATTTTAGTAGATACACGTGTTCTTTGATAAGATTTATGGAGGAGGGTCTGGATTGGGGGAGGGGGGGGGATGGGGTTCTTCGATTCTGTATTCATTCCTTTTTTTAAGCAATTATTCTCCAATCTTCATATTTTAGCACCACTTATTCTCTATTCTTTATTTTTTGTGGCCTATTTATCTGTATCCATTATTTTTTGGCACATTATTCTGTAGTATTGGTACTTTATTCTCTATTCTGTAAACCCAATCAAAACCTTCATTTAGTAACGGTTGCATGTACATGAAATTATAATGTGAAGTCACGATGTCTTTTTTTAATTTTTAGTAGAATCCAACTCGAATACTCGATTATGGATTTTTAGATAAAAAGATCTGGAAGTCTATTTATGTTAAACATGAAGAACTTCACTAGTTTGAATGTAAAGATAGCATCAATTGGGTACAGATATATATGCTAAGTTAACCAAACTGGCACACACAAGACACAATACGACTGTAATACTAATACAAATACATAAAATGAGTGCAATGCAATTTTCCGGAGTTGGTAGCTCCATGTTGGCATGAGATATCTATAAGCACCATACTTCAACAACAAATTAACGATATTTGTGTGTTCATTCTGTGATGCTACAAAGCGAGGAGATCTCCGAAATGAATCGACAATATTAGGGTCAGCATCATGCTGCAAGAGAACATCTACGAGTTCATAGTAACCTTTCTTGGATGCAAGGAATAATGGCGATCGATTGTATTTGTCTGTTGCGTTAACTCTAGCGCCATTGTTCAAGAGTAGTTTCACAACTTGGCAATGTTGTTCTTGTATGACTTTAAAGTCAATATTGCGAAATCGTCGCCTTGAAGCTCCATGTAGTGGTGATCTTTTCAAGTTATCACATAGGTTCACGTCCGCCCCCTTTTCAACGAGAAATCTTGCAATTTCTAGATTGCCTCTCTCTGTCGCTCTGAAAAGAGGCGTCGTATTGTCACTTTTACCTTTCTTCACGGAGGCACCGAATTCTATTAAAATTTTAACTGCATCGAGGTGGTTCAAAGATGTTGCTGTGAACAATGGAGAAGAGTCCCCATTATTACCATAATTAATGTCAGCATTTGCATCTAGTAAAGCCTTTAAGACATCTCTATTACGTGAAAATGCAGCATTGAATACGGGCACATGTCCCGACTCATCCATTTTATGCAAATTAGACCCCATCTTTATGAGCTTCGAAATGCATGTAGGTGCTACACCCACATGCAAGCAAGCGGCAGTGAGGGGTGTTTTGCATCGATGTCTATTTTTGTCTTTTGTTTCAAAATCCTCCTTGTTCTGCAACAATGTGGCATTAAGACATTCATGTTCTACATTTTCCAGTACTATCTTTAATGTGTCTAAGTCCCCACTGCAACATCCTAAAGTGAGAAGTCTAGTTTGTTCACTTCTGGTTTCATCGAATATTTTGCACGGTGAATCATTTTGTGTCGAAGCAAGATGTAATAAGTACCGTAACAGAAGCTCGTGTCCATAAAATACTACCCAACTAATTACCTTAATATGGTATACGACCGAATTATCTTTTTGAATTATTTTGTTCATTAGAGTATCTTGGCTTCATGTCAATGACGTAATTAGAAACTCGTCTTTTATGTTTGATTCTATGAACAGCTTTTCGCCCTGGTCAACAATATTTGTACAATTCGTTTCGTCTTGATTGTGGAAAAAGATTTTTTAGTTCATTATATGGTTTGTTTTGTAACATTTGTTTGAAAACTTTGAAAAAAGCAATGTGCATTAAAGCTGGATTTCTAAAAACGTGATTCAGTTCTATGCTCTGTATGTCTTTGTATATTCTCTCTGCTAATAAATGATAATCATGTTCTTGCAGGAGAATACAAAGAGCATTATGGGCTTCTCCTACGGTGACCATATTTGTTATATAACTGGTTGACAAATATTTTAATATTTGATTCGGATACTTCGTCCCATGATGATAAGCAATTACTTCGAATATAGTATCGTGAATGAACGATAACTGTTTACCAGAATTTACAGTGTATGTGCCTTCCAATTCTTCTAATGCTCTCAGAATAGTATACTTAGAGGTTCCCTGATCCAATTCACACTGTTCATAAACGTCTCCTTTGATGACAGGGTCAGGGAAATTGTCCGTTGAAAGTTTACCACCATTTATCATGCACATAACCAACGCTGCATAGTAATATCCCTCAGTTTGTCCCTTCTGTCGTGTGCTTCTTTCTTGAAGTTTCTTTAATTGGTCTATTAAACACTCATACGGATGAGTGAAGAATCGAGAGCCGATCTGTTGATATTTTTTCTGGTTAGCAAACAACTCGCATAATAATGGAAACATGATAAAAGCTGATTCAAGAAATAACGAATCATACATGTCAGGGTTAACATTGTGTTTGCTGCAATGAGCTTTAAGAATCCCCTCTTTATCTTCTCTTGTCAACTTGTTCTCTTCTCGATCTATATCAAACGCATCTTTTGAAACTAGCGACGCTGTAAGTTTTACGGAATTGAAAACAGCTTTCCTGCATGTCATGACGAGTTTTGAACCGCTTGTCTCCATTAGGTTGACAATAGCCTTGCATCTTGAGTCTAATTTGTTTTCATTGTTCACATCAACACCATAAACACCTAAAATATCGTCATGAACAAATACTTGTCTCGAGTTAACGTTTCCATACGCTAATATCTCCTTGACACTGTCGACAGGAACAATATGATACTCCTCTTTCTGTTTTAGTTCCAGTGCTACATGCCGTGAAATGGAAGTTTGTCCTGACCCTGGACTACCGACAATTGTTGTATGGCTATTTTCTTGAACAATTTGCATGATTTTTCCTGTTGCACGAGTAACAGAAAAAACTTCATCGTTTCTTTCCCACTGGGTTATCAATGCGTTATGCCGTTCTATAATATACATATACATGACACGGGTTATGTTCTTCTCATATATTTTATGACGGTATAATACTAAACCCTTAACAGGAGGGATTGTGCCTGATATTCATATGACGAAGACATAATCTTTCAATCAGTTTAATTGAGGTCTGGAGCTGGCATGTCAGTAACTGCTAGTAGTCTGTTGTTATTTATGTATTATTGTCATTTTGTTTATTTTTTTTTGTTTCCTATTCTGACATCGGACTCGGACTTCTCTTAAACTGAGTTTTACTGTGCGTACTGTTGAACGTTTGTTTTTTTTCTACATTGGCTAGAGGTATAGGGGGAGGGTTGAGATCTCAAAAAACATGTTTAACCCCGCAGCATTTTTGCGCCTGTCCCAAGTCAGGAGCCTCTGGCCTTTGTTAGTCTTGTATCATTTTTAATTTTAGTTTCTTGTGTATAATTTGGAGTTTAGTATGACGTCCATTATCACTGAACTAGTATACATATTTGTTTAGGGGCCAGCTGAAGGACGCCTCCGGATGCGGGAGTTTCTCGCTGCATTGAAGACCCATTGGTGGCCTTTGGCTGTTGTCTGCTCTATGGTCAGGTTGTTGTCTCTTTGAAACATTCCCCATTTCCGTTCTTAATTTTATAATAAAAGACTCAAAAGAAATATTAAATCAATTCTATGGAAATTATTGAGGTATTTTAAAATGACTGAACATTGTTTCATATTCATTGACATTTTTTTGTCACATCAATGTAAAGTTGGAGTATTTAGAGTTGAAAAAAAGGTTTAAATTATTTTGGATCGGCCGTAAATATAAAAAAAAAAACATACACATTTGTTATACAATGTCGTCATTTCGATTACCGTTCATATTTTTCCAAAACTTCAATGCATAAGAAAATTCAACAAACACAATGTACATTTATCATACCTCGGACATTTTTCGGAATTTTCATTTCGATCTCTATTTCTCTTATAATTTCTCTTTCAATGCTTTCTTTTCCTAAAATAAATAAATGAGCATTTAGTATAACATATATTTTGCAAATAAATAGACGTCATTAACCTAATTTTGTGATTTTCGTGAAAAATTATCGCCTTAAAATAATTAAACCTACCTTATATATAATTTGGTATGTCAGACGAGTGTTTTGTCTGCTAAAACTCATCAATGTAGATCTAATAAAAATAGTTCAAGGTCCAATTCAAATACGAAATTGATGAACATTGAAAACTTCAAAATTGCCTTAACTCGATACTTATGAATCATGTGAGCATTTTTGTAAACTCGACACTTGTAAATCATGTGAGCATGTTTTGTAAAGTCGATACTTATAAATTATGTGAGCATGTTTTGTAAACTCGATACTTATAAATCATGTGAGCATGTTTTGTAAACTCGATACTTATAAATCATGTGAGCATGTTTTGTAAACGCGTTGTTGATGAATCAATAACAAGTTACTTCACTTAATGATAATAATACTGTAAAAGGGCATTAGCTACGAGATATGAAAAACAAAAAAAATTGAATATGATTTAGTTTGGTTCAATCACTAATAAAAGTGAAACAATGAGATAATAATTCGCTTTTAGCAGCCAATTTGGTTCAATGTTGTCAAACTAAGCAAAGAAACATCGCTGATGAATTATTCAATTGCAAGTGCAAATTCGACCTCATTGGATCCGTATTCATGTGACCTTCAATTTAACCCATTACCTAGAAATTGGTTATGCATGCATTAGTCGGGTTCAGCCATTAAAAGGAAAAGCATGTCAACATTGAAAGTGAAACAAAGGTGAACCATTTCGTTGACTGAATCGATCCACAAAAAATCATTCTTGTATAGGTAAAAACGATAATTAACTTATTTGTTTAACCTATAACATGAAATCAAACAGACATAGAAAAACCAAATTGCACGAGGTCGCTATCTATTTATATTTATGTGTATGTTAATATTGGGTTAGTTGACCGTCGGCAATCTCCGGAGGTCATCTCGATAGTTAATTAGATGGCGTCTAGACTAAAATACACACGAAATTCTGATATATATTATCGGGTAAATGCATTGTTAACTGTTTATTTCAGACTTATTGTAATTTGGATATACGTTTTAGTATGTTATAAATCAGATATTAGAATTTGAGTCAAATCGGTGAACATGATTTTGACAGCTAATGCCCCTTTAAATAATTATATTATGACAATAACAATTAATAAGCTTATTGCTTCAGCGTATTGACTCTTGCAGGGGTAAACAGACTCACCAAAAATTCCATGGCTTATAAATGTGTACCCCAGACGTTCGTTTCGTCTGCAATAAAATACTCACCAGTGACAATCGGATCAAAAATGTTTAAAGGCAAAAACAAGTACGAGGTTAAAGAGCATTGAGGACCTAAAATTCTGAAAGGTTTTGCGAAAAAAAACAACAGCTGAGGTGATCGATATGTATTCCTGGTATACTTCATTATATTTTGAACAATTTAAAGTTTTGTAAACCGTTAATTTATAGATATGACCATATCAAAGGTAATTCATGTCAACACAGAAATACTGCCTTCTGGGATGGTGATACAGAACTTGCAAACGTAGGCGCTACTATTTGAGCGATCAGTTTGCAGTCACCAATCCTTAAGGCTTATAATAAGAATATTTAATTGGTCGGACTAATCGGATGGACCGGACGGATTGGCCTTTCTGTCGGATTGGATTCTTCTACGTCACATGTTGGACTTTTATAAATTTCGAAATGTTTGTTTCGTTTCATTTAATCAAAGTTTATTTGAAAATTGTGCATCAATCCTATTGAGCGTTTATATATCTCGATAGCTAAAATCTGCTAAAGTGCAGAAAATCAAACAGTTAAATATTGCCAATTTCGGTGCATGGTTTTCAATAAAACAAAAAAATATGGACACTTAAAAAAATGCAAAAAATACATAAAGTATATTTTATTTCATACTCATTATATTCTAAGAACAACCCATCCCGATGTTGAAAAATAGAAATATCCAATGATGATTAATGAATTCTAATAAAATAAATACACTCTCATTCAACAGAAACAAAAGTTCAAGTATCTTTATCCATATAGTTTTCACATTTTATATACCCCAAAAAAAAAAACTCATCAAGAGGCATTAAAATGACTAACTGCAAATAATGGTGCAATAATTTCAATAAAAAGATGAACTATTGCCTTTTGAACAATGCAAACTAAACTTTAGTATATTTTCTCTTATATTTAACATATTTTATGTTAAAAAGTACTTAAACAATGACAGTATATATTTTCTTTTATAATGAAGTCAGAATTGAACTCTTATTCAACACAAACACTTATGTTATTTATTTAGCAGACAAATACAAATACAATTAATGGAATAATCAGATAATGCGTTCAAAGGTAATTTTTATACTTTTTGTATTTGTCATTGCGACAAATTTGAATACTATTCATCGGGAAAGGTGTCTTTGTCGAAGTCCGCGTTTACCGCATGTTAATATCGCGGAGTTCGTTTCACATAATTTTTTTAATTATTATATATTTTTATCTGTCCGATCCGTACATGAAAAAAAAAGATAAGCTCATAAGTACAGTACTTGCAACCTTAGGCGTTACTGTTTGACGTGAACTTGACTGATCGGTGAATGATCGGTGACGGATGTTTGACTGATCGATGACTGATCGGTGATCGATGACCCATATAATCCGTCAGATACGTCAAATAAGCTATGTGAGAGTTACCTTGACAACGGTCAGCGATCGATCAGAAAAGTTATTATATGCACGGATCTGACGGATATGTATATAATTAAAATTCTCATGTAAAACGAACTCCACAGTATTTACATTAGATAAACGCGGACCTCTACGAAGACACCTTTACTCGTTAATTTTTAATCAACTGGTTGTAATATCATAAATATATAAATTACTTTTCAAGCATTATATGTATTACTATATATTCTCTTGTACTAGAACGTGGTATGTTTTATTTAAAATCAAAAGGCCTCAAGGAACGACTTTTTTTATAAGAGTTTCATACTTCATTTCAAATTGTAAGGGGAAAAATACTTCAACTTTTTTTGTGTTGAATACGGTGAATACGAATGTAATAATTTCTTTATTTTGATAGAAATTACGAAATTCCATTAGATTTCAGTATTTTTTGTACATCAGGATTGATTGTTTTTCATAAAATATGCTAACTTTTAGGGAAAAGATACAGTACTAAATTTTTTTTCGTGTTTAATAAAAATGCAAACATTTTTTCTTTTATATCAGAAATAAAGCAACCTCAAATGCAATCAGACATTATAAATGCATTTATATTTGTACATTTGTATAAGATGTGAATAATATAAGGATATATAAGCATAAACTTTTGTTTTTGTTGAATAAGAATGCAATTTTTTTTTTATTTTAATGGAAATTATTGACTGCCATTGGATTTTTGTACTTTTTGTAGTTCAGGATTGTTTTTTTTTCATTTAATTAAAAGAATATAAGAGAAAATATACTAAAATGTTGTTCGCAATGTATAAAATTAATAATTTTTCTTCTTTTAATGAATTTTATTTGAAACTAGTTATTTTAAAGGCTTCGAGATCAGTTTTTTATAAGAAATCTGATAATGCAAGGAGAATAATACTTAAACTTTTGTTTGTGTTGAATTTTGATAGAAATAATGAACCGCCATTTCATTTCAGTACTTTTTGTACATCAGGATTGGTTGTTTTTATAAATTATGGTGAATTTCAGGGAAAGGATACTAAAATTTTTGTTTGTGTTGCTTAAAAATGCAAATATTTCTTCTTTTATTTCAGAAATATTGCAACATCACTTGCAATCAGTCATTATAAATGCCTTAAGATAAGCAATTTTGTATAAAATGTGAATTATTGAAGGATAAATATGCATTAACTTTTGTTTTTGTTGAATAAGAATGCTATCATTTCTTTATTTTAATGGAATCTATTGACCGCCATTGGATTTTTGTACTTTTTGTTGTTCAGGATTGGTTGTTTTTCATACAATTAAAAGAATATCAGAGAAAATATACTAAAATGTTGTTTGCATTGTTTAAAATTACCAATTTTTCTTCTTTTGGTATTTTGTTATTTGTAACTAATTATTTAAAAGGCCTCAAGATACATGTAAGATTTTTTATGAGAATTTTAAATACATAAGGTTTAAACTTTTGCTTGTGTTGAATAGGAATGCAATAATTCCTTTATTTTGAAGGAAATTATGAACCGCCATTTGATTTCAGTACTTTTTGTACATCAGGATTGGTTGTTTTTCATAAATTATGCTGAAATTCAGGGAAAAAATACAAAATTTTTGTTTGCGTTGCTTACAAATGCCTATATTTCTTCTTATATATGAGGAATAATGCAACGTCACTTGCAATCAGACATTATAAATGCCTTTAGATAAGTAATTTTGTATAAAATGTGAATAATTTAAGGATAAATATGCATAAATTATGCTGAATTTCAAGGAAAAGATACTAAATTTTTGTATGCGTAGCTAAAAAATGCAAATGTTTCTTCTTTTATTAAGAAATAATGCAACGTCAATTGCAAAATGGGTTGTATTTCACAACATTAAACGAATATCAGAGGACAGATACTAAAAGTCATTCACGTTGTTTAAACTCTAACAAATTACCAATATTTCTATTTTTTTATAAAAAATTCAGCAATGTTATTTGTAACTAGTTATTTTAAAGGCCTCCAGATACGTTTTTTCATAAGAATTTTAAGATTATAAAAATATAAAAAATAATACATCGAAATTGTCAAAAAATGATCATGTCTTTTCATTTTCCAGAGCATTTTCAGGGAACAAAATCCCAATCGCGATAAAAAATCGTTTTAGCACTGTTCGGGTATGAAATATCCCAGCAAACACACAACATTTTAAAAACATTTTTTAAATGTCATATGGACGTCTCTCACAAAATATTTCAATAAGATATCATTTAAATATAAAAAAAAATGTTTATTTTATTGTTTTTGAAATGTTTTATTTCTAACATTTAAGTAAAATGTTTTTACAACATTAACAAAATATTATTTGCTAATATCTTTTATTCATGTTCTCAAACATTGTTCTAAAATATCCCGTAGATATTTTATAATATAAAAAAATAATAGTTTCTTCAATTGGTATTTTATATTTTAACAACATTTAAAGTAAATATTTTCCAAATATCCAAAAAACATTCTGCAAAAAAATGTTTTACAGAAAATATAGTTTTGCTATTTGCATAAAATGTTTTATAACGTAAAATTAAAATGTTTTACATAAAACATCTGAAAAATATCAGCTAAATGTTTTCTATAAAATATTCTGACATACACATTACTTAATAGTCTTACTGATATTTTATTCAACATTTTACGGATATAAAAATAACATTTTATTTAAATTTTAATCAAAACCCCACAAACAACGTTTTGTGGAATTAGCTCGTTTTTTTTCAGGATAAGATATAGTACTACATTTCATCAATATCATGACAAGCAAGATACTATGCATGGTTGAAATCCTTAATTGATATCTTGAAGATCCTTGAAGTCAGATTTTATTTCTTCTTATATTTAAATTCAAAAGAGTCAACATTAAACTAAGCAATAATGTATTAATAAACAATCACGTTTCTTTAATGTTTATTCATTTCGTTCGTGTATATTTTAGAAATTAAGAAATGAAAACTGTAACTGTACTAAGTTCAATTTTCGTATCGTTTATATGCCTTACGGAAAACCGACCTTTTCCGGAATCGACTTTTGTTTTATCACCGGAAATGATTTTGAAATTTCAATTTCGAAACGAAGACAGGATATCAACAAAGAGAGCCAAGAAAGTTGTTTGTTACGCGATATATACTCACTTGGTAAGAATGATTAATCTGTTAAGATGAAACTTGTGCATTCATTGTGTGTGTTCAATCATAATCGGAACCAAATTACATCTGTTTCTGGAGGTGCGGATCAAGGTTTTGAAAAAAGGGGGGCCCCTGCCCAAGGCAAGCAAACGTTTGGAGTGATACTTGTAAATAGTCTATACATTTATCTTATAAGTAGCTCTATAAGGGGGTCGGGGCCCCTAAATCCGCCACTGTTCAAGCATCTACGTACACAAATTATGAATTTGTTCATTGATATAAAAAAATTATAAGGATATGTGGCTTGTGTGTCTGATTGCCAATACACCTTATCACTATTTGTCTGCCACTACTGGCCATGGACATCACAAAAGTTCCCGTAAAATGTTGACGTCATATTAGAAAATATTTGATTCCACAATTGAAAGTAATACACCTTATTGCTATTTGTCCGCAATTACTGGACATCACACAACCTTCACAAGTTCCCGTTAAATTTTGACGTCATCATAAAAAATATCTGATGCCACAATGGAAAAGTGATTGTTGTTTGAGGTCAAAAGTTCAAGCAGGATAGATTCTCGGGTCAAGCGGGAATAGCGATCAAGTGTATTATTGTATGACGTATGCTGACGTAAAAAGTTCAAGCGGGACAGATTTCCAAATACTGAAATAGCGATAAGGTGTATGAGACAGATATCCACCAGAATTTAAATGACTTAGATAAAAGAAATTATAGGTCACTCATGACCGTTTTGGAAGCCTAGGGTCACTGTACTGCTTTCAAAACTGAGAAAACCAAAGCCATATAGTCCACCTTGAAGCCTTGACAAAAAAATGTTAAATTTTTCTCAACATAATTGAAACAAAACAACTAACTGCCTACATTAAATACACATTATGAAAAAGAAATTTGACAGACTTAAACCAACAACAACTATTGCAACAAGCATGACTCAATACCTTGTTCCGAGGCACACAAACAAGTTACAATAACACTAATATAAGCACCATTTGAATATGGAGATTTTTTTTTCTAGTAAAATCAGTGTATGTATGTATTTGCAAAACAGTAAATTAAATTTCCCTTAACAGCTGAATGAACATTACAAAGACTATGTAAGACTTCAGTACAAGCAAGATAATATAAACTGTTGCTTAAAATTATATTTATTGCTTCATACACACAATGTACATACAATGTATCTTTAATTTTTTAACAGGAGCTAAAAGAAAAGCCACAAAGGACAAGTTCAATATGCAGGTTTACAATTTGGAAGTGGCGCAGGTTCTATGGAATGTCTACAACCTTTCAGGAGAATTTCTTTTTGAAGTAAGAATTTTATACAGAATTACTGTTATTCCATAATTAATTCAAATATTTAGCATAAACAATGCATTACATTCAAGATTAAGGGCATACAATACAGAAAAGATATCTGGATATTTGAATAAATTATTTTTTTTGTGACAAAATAGAAACACGTTGTTTATTTAAATCAATCTTTTAGTCCAACAGTGTGCTTTCATAAACAACACATTAGCTTTCCTCTGAAGTATTTCAAATACATATAAACAACTCATTTAATGACATCTGTGTGTTTCTCGGAAGTTAAGTTATATTATTATCATCATTGCGAAAACAATGGGTAACACTTCGATAAGTTATTATGTGCCTATAGTATACTTCTAGGACTGTATCATATGCCCTTAGATACAAATGACAAGTTATAAACTATGTCACTCTACATACAGAGTTTAACACTTAAAAAGGACAATAAGATGTTTAATGACATTATTTAGCAGGCCCCTACTTGATACAGTGCATTTTATGAAAACTAAAAAAAAACAAGAAAAACAACAGCCTGATTTATACAAAACAATAACAGAAAAAAAATACGATAGACAACAATCAACGAGTATAATGAAATAAGACTCTTGACTGGACACATATCTAGTCTAAAGTTTTTTATGTGTTTTTTTTTTAATAACTAAATGAAGTTCAGCGTGGCAAATTGCTCTCTCTTAACACGGTCAGCCATTTATCGTCCCCTTCCGACAGACTATCATCGTTATTTGTTTCAAAACTTTAAAGGGGAGGGGATGTATATCCTTCAGGCAACGTGAATCGTTCTATAATAAAGGAATGTGCAAGAAGTTTATATATGAATGTAAGATTAATTTTTTTTCAGAAGCATGGCACAGCAAGAAAAAGATATAAGACACTACAAGACATTCCAAGTGATTTTGAATAAGACAATTGATTGACACTTTCAATGTATTCTTAAATAAATCAAATAGTTGATGTAAAATGGTGTTTTGTTCTCATCTCTTCAGCCAATTATCAATGATTATTGACTTAAGATGTAACCCTATTAGAAGTGTAGCGTTTTAGTTTAGAAAGAGAAGTTGTATTGAAAAATCTGAATTTGTGACACAAGTTTTAGTCAATGTAACTTGAACTTAAAAATGTGTATAATGTTTGCATAATGTCCAATGGGATATATGTCATGCATGTTCAGGTTGACATATGCATGATGTGTATAAGATAGGTAATAAAAGTTGAGAGTGAAAAACTAAACATTATACCATTGTGGTTGGAATGTGGGCTTTCTTGCACTGTCTGTCATCTGTCCACCTATATTTGTCGGATTTTGTCCAACAAATATTTTCATCACTGTTTTTCCCAAAACTGCTGATAAAGATGAGTTCATATTTAATGAGCTGCTTGATAGTGATGAACTGTGATGTGTGAACATTTTTGTATCTGGCACCTGTTTCCTGTTTGCTTATACATTGTATTTCAAAATGTTGAATGTTCTCAAATTGTTTATTACTTTAATTAGTAATGCTGATGAACAGAATGACTTTATATTTGGTAAGTGGCTTGACCATGATGAGTTGTGTCTGCCATTTTGGATGTGTCAAAATTTGAAGATACTTCTTGTTTTTAGATACTTTGAATTGTGAATTTCATTTGCTTAGCAAAACAACTGATTTATTCTTGTTTGTATATAGAATTAATCACTGTGTATAAGTTAATTTAACTAATGATTTGTTATTTAAAAAAGCAGGAAACTCAATCAAAAGTACAGAAATTTTTATATTGATATGATCTAGATATCAACAAAAAACATCTTCTTAAAACATTTTGAAAACATTTTTTAGGCACAGTCTCAGTTGCAAGAAAACATCCAAAAAACATTTTTATAACATTATTCGATATTCATGTTTTTCAAACGTTCAGAAAATATTTCTAGAAAATATTTTTTAAAAGATTATCAAAATGTTTTATACGCCATTGTTTTTCACATTATCATGATATTTCTTTACAACATTTTAATTATATTATGCAAATATTTTAGAAAATTTATTAGAAAACGTTTTAGTGATATATTTTCTACCATACATTTAATGTTTTTCTCACGTTTATTTGTGATATTTTCATGACATTAGACACAACATTTTAAAAACATTTTATAGATGTTTTTGTGTTTGCTGGGATATAACCAAAATAAAAACGAAAATCACCATTCTGTTATAATAATATTTAAAATCAGTGTTATCTGAATATTTCTTTTTTTTTTAATTCTTAAAACTTTGCTGAATAATCACTAAAAAAAATGTTGATCTTTTGTACTTGAACGTTTCGTATTTTCCGTGGCGCCATTAATTAAATGAAACGAAACTAAGATTCCGTAATTTGTATTAGTTTATCATATGACGTAGTAGAGTTCAATCCGTCAGAAAGGTCGATCGGTCCTATCCGTCCGATCCGTCCGATCAGTCAAATATTTTTACCATAAATCTGACGGATTGGTGACGTGAGGTTGACGCGAACTTGACTGATTGGTGACTGATCGATGACCGCTGATTGATCGCTAAAATAGTAACGCCTAAGGTTGCAAGTACTGTAACACAGCTTGTATTACTTCTGTTTCACGTCTTTTTTTGACGCAAGCTTGATGCCTTAAAATACTGACAATATCTTAGTTACACTTAAAATTACGCTTTTGTTTTTTTATTTTGTTCAATATACAGTTCATCTCATGTCCGCAAGATAATGACTTAAAATATTCGTCGCAACTTTGTGTGACGTCTTCACCACCAAGTCTTTGAATAATCTACATTAATAAAAAAAAAATTTAAAGGATACCATATATTGAAAGTGATTTCGTTCGTAAATTACAAGCGGCTTTACGGTCATATCAAATCGAAACAAAATGTCTGACCATCAAAGAAGGAAGGTCGGTGAAATTTCAAATAAGCGGAATACCATTCATTGTAAATTCAGTGTACTTTAAATATATTATCATAAATGAAACTAAATGACATGTTTGGTATAATTTATCCATTTTTTTCATAAACTCCAGCGAGATTGAAAGAGGGAGCGGGTCTCGTAGTGCCAACCGTTGGCTGTTTGGGTATTGTTTTGTTGACTTGTTTTGTTTATTTTTCAGTTATTTTTCTTTTTTTCCATTGCATTGTCTGTTTTATTGGGAATATAGTTTTTGATAAGCCCATTTTCTTCAGTAATTTCTTTTTGTAAATTTTTGTAAATTCTTTACAGAGATCTAAAGTTAACTTCAAAATATGATAATGCAGACTATACATCCTTAGTGGTGCCCCCCTTTCCAAAATAAAAACGAACTGGTTCTAAAACGTTGCATTTATTAAGTCTCCCAAACGAAGTTTGGGAAGACTTATTGTTTTGTTCAGTTCTTCTTATTATTATTATTTTTCTTCCTCTTCTTCTTCCGCCGCTTTTAAATTTGAACTTGTCCGCACCCGTTCTCCAAAAACCGCTTGTCAGATTAACTTAGGGTTTCCACAATATGTTAGACTAACATGTCTAGTGGTGCAATCAGGGTTTTGTTTGTGCAATGGGGTTAATAAAGGATACTTTGAGGGACAAAAAGGAAGGAGGGGTTTACTATAGAACCCTATGGGATTTTATTATTTTTAATTTTTAAATGATTATAACTTGAAAACAATGAGTGATAGACACAATTTTTATAATTGAAAATGTTCTAAATGATGAAGCACATTAAATGAAATAAAAGGTAAGTCCCCAGGGATTACCCCACTCCCTTCCATTTGATAAAGTTCTTATATCTTGTTAAGTGGTTAAGATCCCCACCCCTAAACCATATATATGCTGGTTTGCAATGCCAAGATGATTTAAATGATATACACGGTAAGACCCAAGGGGTCATCCCCACCCCCTGTCATTTGAATATATTCAAATATCTTGTTAATGGTCGAGATCCCCACCCCTAAACCATATATATTCCTGTTCGTCATGTCATGAAGGTTTGAATGATATATAGTGTCAGTCCACAGGGGTTTCCCCCCACCCCCAGTGTTTTAATATCATGTAAATGGTCGAGCTCCCCACCCCTAAACCATATATATTCCTGTTCATCATGTCACAAAGATTTGAATGATAACTAGGAGAGTTCCCCAAGGGTTTCCCCCACCCCAATGTTCGAATATCTTGTAAATGGTCGAGATCCCCACCCCTAAACCATATATATTCTGGTTTGTCATGCCAAGTTAATTTGAATAGTATAAAGGGTAAGACCCAAGGGGTCATCCCCACCCCCTGTCACTTGAATTTGTTCAAATATGTTATAAATGGTTCCCCACCCTAAACCATATATATTCCTGTTCACGAAGATTTGAATGAATTACAGGGTCAGTCCCAAGGCGTCACTAATGAATATCACTTTACTGGACCAAACCAAGTTTTACTGGACTTTGCCCAATGTCAGGCCTCGGAATGACGAATTATGGGAGCTTCGTTTGGGAGACTTCGTAACAGCATCCTGTTACAATCATTTCTTGTTGTATATATTTTGAAGTTAAACTCGTTTGGCACTCAGTTTTCTTTAATAATAAATATATAATGACAAAAAAGTATAGATTGACAGACATTACCACGGACAAAGCTTTATTTGGCTTTTAACTTGCTTCCAGTAACTGTGAGTTGCTGCGAGTACTTCTAGGTTGGAACTTTGGAACTTTGGGTCTCTTATCGTTTTGCTTGTTTAAGTGCTTCGTGTCTATCTGATGATTATAGCCCTTTTCTACAGATTTTTGTAGTATATTTTTATTTGATGTTACGACAAAACTGTTCAAGATTAGAGTGGAATATGGTTTAACCCCGTTACTTTCTATAGATTGCACTTTGTAAATACAGCTTTTCTACAAGCCACGCCTCTTATGGGGAGATATATAATATTCATAGATATTTGATTTTGTTTACGTACTGGTTCCCAGATATGATCTCTATGTTTCATCTCTTAGAGAAATAACCTGGGAATGTTACCAGTATAAAAACAGATGGTAGCGGCGATAATTGAATTCTGAGGGACACCCAAAGTGGAGGTAGGGATAGTACAGAATTTTAGTATAATTTTAAACTCTTAGAAGTTCGGTCATATAAATGTTGAAAATATGCCGCACAGCCCTATGTTTTGACCTTTGAATAAAGAAGTAGTGCATATCAACTTTTCGTTTTAGGATATGATTTTTTACGAAACTACATAGTAAAAGTGGCACAGCTTTAGCCGCAAAGGGAGTTCCTATGGAAAGTTGCATGGTCTATATTTACAATAGTGCATCCTATATGTGCCTGTCCGAGATCAGTAATAGTTATACTGACACACCAAGTCGATCGAGTGGGATAACTATTTTACATTCCAGCTCTTCTAGACTATATGAAAAAACATTTACGTTTCATCTAGTTCAGAGTGCCATACAATAATCATAATATACTTTATATATTACTATATAGTATATACCTTTTATGAGCCCCTAGTACAATGTTTAAATGGCTTCATATTCTTAAGGTCTTGAGTTCGATTCCCCGCATAGACACTGGAAATTTAGTGGATTATTTCTACATAAATTTGGAAAGTTAGTATTTATTCCGCATAAACAAGTTTTATTGTGTGTTTGACATTCCCGCCAAAATGTTACAGAAACAAAAGAAAGCATGCGGAAAAAAGAAACTCAAGTTACGGTGATCTGGTAGGGGTGATCCGACTCAGATCACCCTTGTTAGAACAAAGGAGTTGGGATGTGAGGTGGTATGTTGCATATTAATAAATTTGTTTTCCCGATTGAATAAGTTTGTTTAAGAAATAATTCATGGGGGCTTGAAAATATCGTGATTTTACCACGGGTTGGCCCTTTATGACAAATATTTTACCCTGAGCGATAGCGAGGGGTAAAATATCGGCATAAAGGGACAACCCGTGGTAAAATCACGATATATTCAAGCCCCCATGAATTATTTCGATTCTAATAGGATAAATACGGCAATTGTTTTGGATCGAAGCGCTCTAGATGAAGGCATTATTTGCCGTTCCCATGAATAAACGCACTATTAAATTGACGTAAAAGACCGGAGCAAACTGAATAAATGACATGCTTAAACTATTTACAATGACATATTTAGATAGGTTTGTATGAATCTAAATGATAATTGTACTTATATGTATACAACAAATGGTTTATATAACACATTTTTTCATCGTTTGTTTACGTTTCCTTGTTGTGATGATTTTCGGTTTCACAAGTGTGTATTTTCCCGTAAAATGCTTATATTCTTACGTCATCGTTCTATGACGTCGGGTAGCTCATTCATAAAAAAACATATGACGCGGGAGTACGATTGGAACAGCCCAAACAATATATTCATATTTTACCACGGGTGTGTACTCAAAGCGTTTGAAGAACGTCAAGTTAGAATTTTATTCAATTTATCATGTCGGGGCATTTTATAGCTTACATTTTGTACTATACGGTATTAGATATTCTCATTGTTGAATGCCATACAGTGACATATATTTTCTTACTTACACTTGATTTGGTTAATAGTTGTCTCTTTCACGATCCTACCACATATCCTTTTTTGTCAAATCGCTCATAAAAAGATAAATTTTGGATTCGAGAATTATGAACAGAGATTCCTTACGGAAGCATAGGCATAACTGATGACGTATGTATTTAATAAAATCTGAATGTGCAATTTGATAAGAGACACACAATTCAGTTTTTGATACAAATTCTTCACAGAGTGGTTGCTTAATTATGGATATTGCGAAACATAGGCTATTGAAACAATTACACTTACTTCCATAATTGATAAGAAACGTATTTTTTAAGTAGAATAATGTAGAAAGGTTTTTTTTTTTTTATTTTTTTATGCTAACTTTTAAATGGTTAAAGCAATATATTAAAAAAAAAATTACAGATACATAAAATGAAACCTTAATACATACAATAAGGTAAAACTACACCTGTCATTTATATAACTTACCCCCAAACCCATGTTAACCGAAACCGAGAGGGTATTATAGGCCTTGACTACAGGGATGAAAACTCCAAATCTCGAAGTTGCTCTTGTAAATCGTTCACATGCAAATATATGTCTACTAGTCATGCTACATGTATAACGTATTACCTTGTCATCGCTAACAGGCACAACTTTTCTATCGAATTCTTAAGCCAGTCAACTGGAAGAAGAACTTCTGGTTACAAATGAAGCAGTTAATATTTACGCCAGAAAATCGGTTAAGATGAACTTTAACTTGACACTTTATCTAATGGATCAACGCTGTTTTGTCATGCATTTAGAATACGGTCAAAATCTACGACGTAACATGCCCCTTCCGGTTTAGATGTTCGACGTAACATCTTTTTAAACTTATTACTACTATTCTTTCTACAATAAAAGATGGCCTTCATTCAATTTGTGATGAGGTGTATCCCTCCAGATGTGGATTCATCATTTTTTCAAGACCAACTCCATAATCTTTACACACAAACTTTACAATTCTGTAATGAAATCAAAGCTTTTGATTTTTCTACACTCTACCTCTACACTACTTTTCCTCACACTTTATGGTAATATTGACTACATCTTCTCATTTAACAGTGCTTTTCCTACAAATATGGATCGTAGACACAAATTCCATGCTTTCTGATATGAAAAATTTAAGTTTGTGAAGAACAACAATTATTCCAATAACAAACATACCGCATATGATATCATCAAAAAGTTTGAATTTGGACAACATATATTTGTTCTGTTTTGTAAATTGATATTTCAACAGACAGTCTGTATTTAAATCGAAACTAATTGTGCACCCATTAAGGCTGACTTGTTTTTGTACTTATTTGACAAAGAATTAACAGATTGTTTCCTGTCATTCAATAACCCACACTTTAGTGAATGCTGCAGCCTTGCATATTATTTACCCTAGTTAAGTTAGGACTATGGATATTTTTGCAAAAATAGAAGGTCTACTTCATTTCTTGATCTATTCATTGATATTAACACAGATAGACCTCATCAATCTAGAATCTATGAAAAGTAAAATAACAAAAATACCGAACTCTAAGGAAATTTCAAATCGGAAAGTCCCTTATCAAATAGCAAAATCAAAAGTTCAAACACATCAAACGACTGAAAAACAACTATCATGTTCCTGACTTGGTACAGGCATTGCCTTATTTAGAAAATTGTGGATTAGGCATGGTTTTATAGCTAGCTAAACCCCTCACTTGCATGACAGTCGCATACAATTCCATTTTATTGACAACAATGTGTGAACGAAACAAATAGACATAATATGTAAAAATGTCAAAAATAGGGGAACATCAGTCAACATCGTGTTATAATCCTAATTCACTATAAAACAAACAAATATATCAACAAAGAAAAACAAAAAGGTAATGCATTCAAATTTCCGATTGTCAACTTTCTATTTCTTAGCGGTAACAGACCATATTATTCATCGTATGGCGTTTATAACTACCAAATAATGCGTTACCTCATGGGTGTTTTCATTATATGGACTACATTTATCATCAATAAACATACTACATACATACTGGTTAGAGAGTTATGAGGCAATACGAATGAAACAAACACTACTCAAGTGTTTTCACTATCACTAATGGGTTGACCGATACGATGAATCTGCGTCTTTTGATTTCTGACCGATTGAGTCCTTTTCTTGATTGCTACATTTTGAGTGTGGGTAGGGACGGAGGGTGATGCATATATAGCAGGAATGTTTCATTCTGTTGACGTACCCGGTTTCACTACTTTTGGAGATCATGCTATTACCTAAATTTGACCTATTTTACTTTGATTTGTGTTTTCTTATTGAATTATATGAGAACTGAAACCGGCAAACTACTTTGCCTCTATTTTATATCTGACGATGAACAATTTGACCAGAAATAAAAAAAAAAAACAAAAGAGAAAATGGACAGGGTCTTTTTTTTTAATTCACAATCTAACAAATTTATTCACCAGTAAGAAATCGAAACTCTAGTGCCCATCGAAATTATGCTTACCTATTTTTAAACGATTAAAAAGTTAAAGATGTTCCTTTCTTTGGCGCATAGAGATTTTCTTGTTGTTCCGTTGCTAAAAGGCAATTTATGATCATAGTTACCGAAAAATAATTGAAGTAATGTTAACGCTAAGATAATGATAAATATTATATGATAATGCAGACACTTACTTTATTCAACTCACTAGCCAGATGATTGTACGTTGCCTCGTTAATTTCCTCTTCTTCAATAATGAATTGCATGTGTACGGTCAATCGTTTCAGGTCTGCCTGAATTCTTTTATCTTCTTTGATTGGCCCAGCCTTTGGTATGGTCACTTTGTCAAAAGTTGCACATAATGATATCATGATGGATAATCCTAAACTGGTTCCAATACTCTGATATTGAGGAGCTTACAGAAAAAAGTGAAAGTTTTGTTTATTTCGAAAGACAAATATTTCCGTAAATGATAACACATTTGAAGAAGGCTACAACATTTCTTATAAGAACCAAAAAATTAGGAGGATGTGCAAATTGTTTAAAAAATGTACACAAAAGTGTCAATCACAAATTGAAATTCGAAAAAGATCTAAAAAAAACACACAAGCAATTATAGAGACATTTATTTTTGAAATTGGCATCTGGACTGGTAAAATTGGTACCGTTAATGTTATTTAACCTGAAATTGATGTTGTCATGTGCTGATTGATATATTTTAAACTGATTTGATTAAGGCTATTGTTCAAATATATGTCTTGTGTTAATTGATTGGGAGTAATTATTCGCCACCTATCCTGATATTTCTAGCACTTTGAAGCAATACATTTCTTTTTCCTTATCAAATGTAATTGAACTGCCAAACACTCTTCAATTTCACTGACAAATGATATATCGAACTGTTTTACCATAGAGACGTTCCTGATAATCATGATTCCATATGTTATGGAGAAGTCCTGCGGACTACATTGGCAATTAAATTAAATCTTTTCAATAACGTAGAAATTGTTTTGTTTGTTTTATTCACGCATCGTTGTCAATATAATGGAATTTGATGCGGCTGTCATACAAGTGAGAGGTTTAGCGCTATAAAACCAGGTTCAATTCACCATTTTCTACATACGAAAATTTCTGTACCAAGTCAAGAATATGACAGTTGTTATTCATTCGTTTGATGTGTTTATGCTTTTGATTTTGCCATTTGATTAGGGACTTTCCGTTTTGAATTTTCCTCGGAGTTCAGTATTTTTGTGATTTAACATTTTGCTTACTTGGTTTATAACGCGCAATGTCCTCCTCTTTTACAGGTGTGCGTTCTATGATATCAGCCACCACTGAACTCACTTCGTCCTCATGCAAAGCAACGAGGAACTCCGAGTAACCTTTTGCTGTTCTAATCTTTGAAATTAACTTCCTGTTCATTTCAGATTGTACATCAATAGACATGATTTCTTGCATATCATCGGTATTAAGAACTTCAACCTCTATTAAATGATCAATGATACCAGAGGTATTAGACAGTTCCCGTACTAACATATAATAGTTCTTTCTAATACGAATCAAGTTGTGACCTGTGAATAAATACATTGATAATCACCATTTTTACAACAGATTTGAAAGCACTCTATCATAATGAAACATTGGTGCGTTTTTGTCAAAATTGGATAACAATGATAGGTTAACTCATTTCTAAAATAAAAATGAGGGAGTTGCTCCCACTGAATACTATAAGTTACGTCAATAGCACATAGATACCAGATCAAATGTGACAGGTGAGCTTAATTCGAACACAAAATCTAGTTCATTTAAAAGAAATTAATTAAAAAATGTTAAAAAAAAAGAAAAAAAAAAAAAAACAGGACATGAAAAAAGACAAATAAGAAAGTAAATTCTTTACCAATTTCTTGGTTTTCCTCCAGTTGAACCAGATCAACTTCCTGTGTGTTGATTTTCATGCAAATCTCTGCAAAATTTGTATGGTCTCTTTGTAAAGCCTTTAGAAAAAGATCGCATGCATTTTCTGATTGGTCCATCATTCTATCTAATATAAATTTGTTCTTCTCTGTCTGACCTGCGCATATACCTACTTTGTCACTGTCTTCCAGTGTCAATACTCCCTCTTTTATTAAAAAATCCATGACAGATGTATCAAGTGTTGCGTTCAACAAAATACCATCGTAATAAGGATATAACTGATGCTTGTAGATACCTTAAAAACATAAGTGATACAATAACAAAAATAGCATAATATATAATACCGTTTAAATAAACATAAGAAGATGTGGTATGATTGACAATGAGACGACTATCCATGGTTTGTTTGAGTTGTTCCTTAAAAGTTTAATGATAAATAATTTAAAATCAGGATTTATAATCGTACCTTTTACTTTGCAATGTATTTCTATGTATGTAGTATGGCGATTAATTGCTGAGCTTTCACATATTAAGTAAAAGCCAGAAACAAATAAGTTGGAATTTGCATGATGCAATTATACTTTATTGTCTATAAATTTTCTGTTCACATATTATGCATATAGCCTTAACCTAAGCAAACTACTTTAATTTGTTACTTTAATGAGTGTGGAAATATCGTATGACACTTGATGCAGTGACAGAAATCATGACAATTGATTAGGAAACAAAATAAATTGAAGCATGTTAAGGTTATAGACTTAGTTAAGGGCCTTATCTCTGAAGTCATTTGTACTTTTGTGTCATCCATTTTCATCAATATAGTCTAAACTTTTAAGAAACATAAAATAACTTAGTCCTCTTTCATATAAATGCTGAAAAAGCTCTAATAAAACTTAGTTTTGAAGTGCAATACTGATTTTAATACTTATATCCCTTAAACAAAGTATACAACCTTAAACTGTAAAAAAAAACCAATGTTTTGTTTACTTTTAATATGAAATATATGATTCCATTCCTCTATTGTTAAAACTTTTTTTAGATCTTCCTCCGTTTTCTCAATAGCAACAAGAAGTTCGATGTTATGTTTTCTCTCGATATGTTTCTCGAGAACTCGCGGGACTCTTTGAAACAATATATATACAATTTTTAAGTAGTATTCCCTCTCTTTTCGACCCTTTCTTGAAGCCATGCTTGTAACATATAGAAGTCGTTTTCTGTAACATAATAGAAATGATGTTTAATTTGTATCTTGAAACTAGTAGAATGGATAATAATGCGAACTTTAGATGTCATATTCACGCACTCAAATTCTAATTGAATAATAGTTTGATATTTTTTTAATATTTTTTTTCAAAATGTACTAGATGACTTTTATGACGAGAATTCAATATTATTCATACATTTTCGCAATTATGTGGAAAAAAATGGAATAACAAATATACCGACCTCCAATGAAAATTCAAAACGGAAAGTCTCTTATCAAATGCCAAAATCAGAAGCTCAAACACATCAAACGAATTCAAAACAACTGTCATATTCCTGACTTGGTACAGGCATTTCCTTATGTAGAAATCTTTTACTTGTATGACAGTCGCATAAAATTAAATTATATTGACTGACAGCAATGTGTGAACAGAATAAACAGACATACTTGTTTTTGTTAATATGTCTTTTGATTGCGTTAAGCCATTTCAATTGATATTTTATAGTGTGTCTCTCTGTGTTGTGATGCTACACTATTGTTTCAGGTTAGAGTGAAGGCTGGCGCCTATTAAAACATTTAAACCCGCTGCATTTGTTTGCACCTGCCCTACGTCAGGAACCTGATGTTCAGTGGTTGTTTTTTGTTGATGTGGTGTTGATGTGGTTCATAAGTGTTTCTCGTTTTTTATATAGATTAGACCGTTCGTTTTCCTGTTTCAATGGTTTTACACAAGTCATTTTTGGGGCCCTTTATAGCTTGCTGTGCGGTGTGAGCCAAGGCTCTTTGTTGAAGGCCGTACTTTGATCTATAATGGTTTACTTTTACAAATTGTGACTTGGACGGAGAGTTGTCTCATTGGCACTCATAACACATCTTCTTATATCTATAATAAATAAAAATGTAAAAAAATTGGAGTACAGCAGTCAACAATTTGTTATAATCTTAAACACCAGAAAAAACAAACAGCTATGTAAACAAAGAAAACACAAAATGGCATATAGACACTTTGTAGACAAAGCAAATAAGCAAATATGAAAGACAAGAATACAACAAAATGACCATAGCACAATAACACAATGGAGGGATGTTCTTTAACATAACCCTGGTTCATCAAATTTCTGCTGCAAAGCTACTGGTGACGTTTTGTATAGTCTGAGTAGCAGATGCAAGCTCTTGAAGATCGAACAAGTTGTATATCCCATATGCAGGGGAGGTTAGTATAATGCTGATAAGGTTGGAGAAATTGATAATTTCAAAATTAGAATCGTCTCGTTAATCATAGATTCTGGTACTGAGATGACCGCTCATGTCAAATTCGAGGTATAAGTATAAAGATGAGGCGGAGGAAGATATGTCTGTTGTTACTTGAATTTATAGTTCTAGGGGATATATTAATGGAACCCAAATTAGAAAAGTTTGGATTGTTAATGGAAAGAACATCATCACTCTATCTGAATGTGAAATTAAATAATTTGGCTTCTTTGATCTTCTTGTTTTTGACAAGTGTCTGAAGGAACTTTGATAAAAATAAGAAAAGGTCGTTAAGGCGAGGCGCACAATTCCTTCCCATAGGAATGCCGACAATTTGCTTAAAAAAATCTACCTCTAAATTGACCAACATTCTTTCAATAAGAAACTCCAGCAAACTTATAACTTGTTCCTCTGTGTAGCATGTTTTACCTATTTGTTTACTATTAACAAAAATATGCCGTATGGTATCCAAAAGCAATAAATTTATAGCATATGCTTCCATTTTTATATTTAAAACCGTGTGGATTATTTCTTTTAAAAACGTCTTACCGCCACATGAACTCTTTGCAGAGGTTTTTGTTACTACGAAATCATTAGCGTTATTTAACCAAGTTTACGAAATTTCGAAAAAAAGTTTTGTATTATTTTGCAGACTTTGCCTCACTTCACAAACTTTGAAATAATTTGTAAACTTTGGATTCATTCCCAAACTTATTTCGCAAACTGTAATTTGGCAGTGTGGTATTCACTCGTACGGAAGCATATCTGCGCCCTATATATTTCTAAATATTTTAGTTATTTCGCTTACTTTAACGTAATTTTTCTACTAATGCATTTTTTTCAAAACTATTTGTTACTTAACATGTTAACACACTCTTGCATAGTTTTGCAAAGTTTCATGTAACGTCCCAAACTCTTGGTCGTTTTAATTTGTTTATTGCCTTGGTGTTGTCAGTTTGTTTTCTGAGTTGAAATATTCCTTTGGTATCCTCCTCCTCTCTTTTTATACCTTTCAACTGAAGTCAAAAGAAGATATTTATATAAGACAGAAGATCAATACTTAAGCAATAGTCTAAATTAAAAAAAGAATGCACATCATAATCAAGTTAGCTGTTCATATAGGTCAGCTAAATATGATGGACGATGTTGTGTTTTACGTCCGATGACAAAAATATAATGCAAAACTGTGCGAGAACATGTTAATGTGATATGATTATTATTCCTTTTTTTTTCTGAAATCTCATGCTATGCTGGATTTTTAAAAGACTCGTTCCCAAGGTGACAGTCTGCAGTAAGAAATTTTCACATTAAATGGGCACAGTATTTCACACTACGCCGACCAGTCTTTGCCCTTAGTCCCTAATGAATTGAAACTGATGGAGAAGCAGCAAATATCCATTTTCATATTTTTTGGTATGTCCCGAATGGAGATGGAACCTTATTTCTAATAAAATAGCTGAACATATATCAATTCAAGAAAGGATACTCAAACGAAACATACTTTCATATTAAATATACCAGATAATAAAATTTGTTTATGCAGATTAAGGGTCTGGACGGAGTTTTATGAATATAGAATAATGGGCCAATACTTCAGAATAATGGGCCAACACTTCAGAATAATGGGCAAATACTACAGAAAAATGGGCAACACTTCAGAATAATAGGCCAATACTTCAGAATAATGGGCCAATACTTCAGAATAATGGGCCAATACTTCAGAATAATGGGCCAATACTTCAGAATAATGGGCCAATACTTCAGAATAATGGCCCAATACTACAGAATAATGGGCCAATACTTCAGAATAATAGGCCAATATTTCAGAATAATGGGCCAAAACTACAGAATAATGGGCCAATGCTTCAGAATAATAGGCCAATATTTCAGAACAATAGGCCAATAGTACAGAATAATGGGCCAATGCTACATAATAATGGGCCAATACTTCAGAATAATGGGCAAATACTACAGAATAATGAGCCAATACTTCAGAATAATAGGCCAATACTTCAGAATAATGAGCCAATACTTCAGAAAAATGGACCAATACTTCAGAATAATAGGCCAATACTTCAGAAGAATGGGCCAATACTTCAGAATAATGGTCCAATACTTCGGAATAATGGCCCAATACTTCAGAATGGAGGGCAAATACTTCAGAATAATGGACAAATACTACAGAATAGTGGGCCAATACTACAGAATATAGGGCCAATACTACAGAATAATGGGCCAATAATACAGAATAATGAGCCAATACTACATAATAATGGACCAATACTACAGAATAATGGGCCAATACTTCATAATAATGGACCAGTACTACAGAATAATGGGCCAATACTACAGAACAATGGGCCAATACTACAGAAAAATAGGTACAAAAAATAAAAAATAGAAAAAAATAGGCCACAAAAAAAAAAAAAAAAAATTTGAAAAAGGTGGGGTGTTGAAATATAAAGAATAGAGAATAATGGGCACAATTTTTAAACAGTTAAGAAAAATGGCTAAACAATAAAAAAAATACAGAATAAAAGGACCCTAATCCAGACCCTCATTAAATGTTTAGAAGAGAAAGATTCACACTTTACTGAATATACACAACATAAAGTTCATGAGTAAGAAAATCGATTCATAACCGAAAAAACATAAAGTGATGTCTTATTTATACATGTCTACAAGTGCAGATCAAAATGGCTATTTCAGTTACAAAATCATGTCACAAGAAATATTATGTGTAGTTACAGCATTCTATAAAAGCATTCGAATACGGAATACTTACAACCATTCGATAAACAGTTCTTTTTCCTTTTACCATAAAACAGTACACAGTAAATAACCTGTTGAAACAAACCATTTGTGATAAAAACACATTGTACATGTATTTGAATTAAATTCCGGTGTAGTTGCGTATATATTTCTAGTTTAAAAGGAACACACAATGTCGCGAATATTAACTGTAGTATGTCATTTAAAAAGTAAAGTTTTCTTAATAATTCAATACATATAACACACCATGCACATACTATTAAATGTCCGTTCGTTTTAAGATAATTGGTGAATAATAAACATTGAAGGATATAAACCTATGAACATTTAAAAGTAATTCAAACCAAATACCGAGGGGTTAATCAGATTTATACAATAGATTGAAGAAGTTGCGTCGATTGCACTCGCTTAGGGAATACGTTTTGGATATTCTATCTTTTAAAACTAGCTTTATATAGATTATGACTTTGGTGATGACATAACTCATTTTGCTCATTCAAAGTTTGTAACAATATTTTGATTCATAAGAAAGAGGTCGAAATCCCACATAAGATAAAACAAAATCAAAACGAAAACAAAGATGTATAAAAACATGAAACGAAAGGATAGAAACAGATGATAAGAAAAAGACATTTAACACATTTGTTTACATTAGTAGTCGTTATTTTTAGGGTCTAAAAACGGACAATGTAATATAGCCGAAAACCCCCTGTGCTTCTCCATTTTTAACCACCGGAACCTCAGTGAACCACTGATTTCGCCACTTGAAGAGATGGAACAGTGATGTCTTTCTTTCATGCCAGTAAAATAGTAACATGAACACTCCATAATTTTTACTTATTAAAGATATTTTTAAATGTAGATTTATCAATAAAATTGAGAATGGAAATGGGGAATACTTATAGCAATGTATAAAATTGATTGTTTTATTCAAAGCATGTTAAGAAAAATGATAAACAGAAAAACTCCTATCTTTTCTATAAAAAGTGATTTCCTATATATAATACCTGTAACTTTTTAAAAACTTAAAAAATGTCTTCCATTA